CTTAAAAACAGCCTGTAAAAGTACAATTTCTAATCATCTGCTCAGAGAAGTTCTGTCTATATATGGTCAAATCCTGGACGTCAATGGTAAGGCACATCTCAGGATGTTATGTTATGCACTATCAGGATGTTATGGCGTTCTAGGAGTTTGTTTTCTCCTGTGTGATTCAGCGTGGCTCTGCATGCCCCGTTATGAACTGGGCCATGGGTGACCTCCACCTACACAAGGAACTATATTACAACAGGTTCCCTCTGCGGAAGCTTCCATCGATGCCTCTGTCCTTGCTAAGAATGAGTGGGAGGCCTGCTCACAGCCCCTGCTTCCCCAAATAAGGGACTCTCCAAGGAAGAGGAGGAAATCCACAACTCTCTTCTGTGGGCGGGGGCTTCCTCCTCTCTGGACAGCGGGGGGGGGGGGCTCAAGAAAAGACGCCTCTTTGGTGTGGCCACTGTGACTTCCAGCCTTTGGGGCCCAGGCCCACTTCGCGGTCCTCCTCCATCCCCCACCTCAGAAACAATGAAAGGTTGGGGGGGGCGAGATATTTATTACGGAGCAGGGATCCAACCTGTGATAAAAGCTCAGCAGATTCCAAGCCGCTTGAGTCCCCAGGGGGCCACCATATCCGATCTGTCCTGCCAGGACCTGGAGCCCTCCGTGCATGCTGGATGAAAGCCCCTATGCCCATGCTTCACAGCCGGGATGGGCAACGCAGTCCAGAAGGCCTGGAAGAGACCAGCCTGGGCTAAGATGCTCTGTCCTCTTAAAAGCAAAATTTCCCGCTCCTGGGAATCCTGAGATGCTTCTTTGTCAGCCAATCCAAGTGGGATCTTCTTCCCAGGCGCTGGGCATCGTTTTCCAGGCTTTAGGATCAGTCCGTAAACCAGGCTTTCAAGCCCCTTGAGAACGCAGGGTGAGCCCCCCCCCCCCCCAGCCTGCTCCAAAGCTTGTTTCCCCTTTCGGCCAGGGAGTTTTGTGGTCTGGCTTCTGCCTTCCACCTTCCTTCCATTGTTACAGGCAGGAAAAACTTCACTTCCCTGCTCCCAGGCCAGAAGTCTCTTTCTTCACCTTGCTTTGCCTCAACAGGAGCAGGCCGTTTTGGTGAACAGCTGGCCAGGCCGAGGTGTGCAGACAACTTCCCGAGACGCAGCCATAACATTTTAACCCCCTGCTGGAGCGGGCGGCTCTCCTGGCAGGAGCCTTCACACATCCGCCTTGATGGACAAGCGATCGGGCATCCAGCAAGGCAGGTTTAATCTGCCCTTTGCAACAGCCACAGCAGGCGCCGCGTTTGACAATTTCACCCAACGGGAAGCCCAGAGAAATACCAGGGAAAGGGCAGGCGGATCACGCGTGGCCAAGCCACAAACATCCACCGCACCAGCTAAGGCGGGAGACTTAGGCACAAATCAAGAGGCAGCCTTGATTTCCCGGAAGGTGGTGCAGACGTTCAAAGAGGAGGCTCAGAATCGAACAGGCCCAGTAAGAGAGGAAATTGGAATGGGAGGGAAGAGGAGAACAGACCCAGAGCAGGACTTCCAGCTTGGCTCAGGGACGGGCAGTCCCCAGTTGCTAACGTCCCAGAAGGGCTTTTCCAAAAGGCAACTGGACTTCTTTGGTTTCCCTTGAAGGCGTTTCTCTTCTCATCCAAGAAGCTTCTTCAGTTCTAGTAGGCAAGTGAAGAGAAGTCAGAAGAACCGAAGAAGCTTCTTGGATGAGAAGAGAAACGCCTTCAAGGGAAACCAAGGAAGTCCAGTTGCCTTTTGGAAAAGCACCTTTGGGGCAACCAAGACCCAGATGGCTGAGACTCTCCGTAGACCTTCAGTTGCCAACCTCCTGACCGGCCGGGGGTCCAGCTGTGACTCTCCAGCGTGCATCTTTTATCCGTCAACGTTAGGAGTGCTTTCGTCCCTCGCAACCTCTAGATTTTCAGTCATTTCTCATGCATCGATGGCTACCAACGTGCCTTTTTTAAAACAAGACGCGATTGGGAGGAGATGGCTTAGCAAGATGCTCAAAGCGCCTTCTCAGCAATTTGAGGGAAGCGCTGTGCCTATTATTCACACCAGATCTGTTCGGTGCTTCGTAAATTGCTCGTGCGATTCAGTGCGACCGGGTCGTGTGGCTGCTGTGTCTTTCAGCGACAAGAGAGCCACTCTAGCAGAGGGTCAATGCCGTTACTCCATGCAAACCTCTGTGCAAGAAAAGCCCAGATAATGCTTTTGTTGAAGCCAATAAGCACCGATTCAGCCACAGCGTCTCCCGTTCGCCTACTTTGGGCCAAGGTTTTGAGAGGTCTGCTAATCACAGATGACTTCTCCACCGGGAGACACGCCTTGAGCTGCATCCGTCACAGAGATCTCACAATCTGTTATGCAATGCAGGCGCTCGGTTTGCCATAGAAGATGGGGGGGGGGGAGGAGGAGGCAGAGACAGGCTCTCTCCCTTGGTGATGAATTGGAGGGGACAAATCTTGCACCGTGGGGACAATTCCTTTCCATTAATTAGCTTACCACATTCACGCCCTTTCCTCTTTTCAGTTTCACCGAGTTTCCCATCTTCTCAGCCGCAAAATGTCTGGCCGGCTTGTTCCTTCCGCTCTGCACTGCTTCCAGAAAGCCGAAGGCCGCTCGCTCCAGAATGCGGGGTCCTTTTCTGTGATTTGGGGAAGAGCCGGAAAAGACACCTGGTTACAACTCCCGTACCTTGAGGCTGGCCACAGCTGGAAATACAGCAGCCAGGCTGGGCTAAAACAACACACACACACACAGGCTAAAAAATGCAATAAATACGTTCCTTTGTGGTGGGGAGTGATTTTCTGACAATGACTAGAAAGCGGGTTTCATTATGACAAAAATGACCCCTAAGGACGCAAACATTAATAGAACCGGGGGTTAAATTGCAGCCCAATTTTGACATTTAACCTCTGAGCTGCAGGAAAGCAACCCAAACTCCAAATGAGAAGAGAGCTGAGATGGGGCGACGTGGAGGAATCGGACCCTCCAAGGGAGGAGGGGGAGGGGGGCTGCGTTGCTCTCAATCCTCCCCATCCTCTGCACTCCAAAGCAGGGGGGGGGCTCCTTTGGAGGAGCCGTGGGGAGCCTCAAGCAGCCTGAATATTTGTGGCAGAGCGCCACCTACAGTCAGCCTGAATTAAACCATCTGTGGCGCTATCAAAGATCTGGGTTGCGGCTGCATTATTGCCTTTTCTAAAGACAGATTTTCAGGGGCAACCCCATTTATCTGCACATGGAGGAAAGCTTCACTCGTGCCCCCCCCTCCCCATGGCCTCAGTTACTTCCCCCCAGGGGAAAGTCCCCCACCACCCAGTTGACGGACAGACCCGCACCGAGGTTCTGCCCACTTCAGGGGCGCAGAGAACCCCTTGGCATAGTTGCCCAATCAGTGCTGGCCAGCCATGTTGCCAGAGTTTCTGCCAGATTAGATTTTCTGCTTAGGGTGCAAATGCATTTAATAAAATGGAGGTTGGCACCAGTCAGCTTTTGTGGCCAGTGACTTCCTCGTTCTCCTCTAAAAATACCAGTGCTGATGAAGAGAACTCATGCGCAGCCCCTGGGAAGGCCCCGGCCAGCCGTTCAGGAGGCCGGCCTGAGTGTAGGAGCCTCTGGAGACTCCTGGTCTCCCTCAACCACCCAGATGTTGGTGGAAACGGTGCAGTGAGTTTTCTTCCACCTAGGAATGGCAGGTACAGGGGAAGCAGGGGGGGGGGGGATGGATGCACATTTTCCCTGCCTGAGGCAGCTGGTGGGCTGTGCTGGGATCCAACCCCAGACCAGCCGGACGTTTCAGTCTTCCTAGAGGGGGTATGCTTCCCCTTTCAAGAAACAAGCCCAGGTCTTGCTTACCTACTTCTTAAGTCACGCTTAAACCACTGTTTGTTTTCAACCATAATGTAGGGAGTAAACATCCACTTGCAGGATTCACCCATCAGGCAGAATATAAACCCTGGTTTTCACAAGCTAGCCAGTCTGTCTGTCTGTCTTGGAGCCCCATAGCCAACTGCAGACCATTTTTAACGTTGGAGGGGAGTGGGGGGGGGGGACTGGGGAAGGATCTCTTCCCGATTTAAATGCCCATCTTGTCTCTGAGGCCGGGAGGGGTGTTAGACCCATATAAAACACCCACCAACCTCAGCTGGCAAAAGCCTTTCAATGAACGATGCCTTCCCCCCGGTTTCACGGCAGATTGGAGAGGTCCAAACATTTCAAGAAAAGGGCTATTCCGGTTGCTTAGAAAGACACCAGCTGCTGCCAAAGGCTGCCAGGTACAGTGGCTGGAACAGGGGCCTCCAGCGTGAACCAAATGGGGGACTGTGATCAGTCCAAGGCAGAAAGCGAGATTTGGGACTCCTGGGAAACTATGGACACATTGAACGGCAGCTGTCAGGCAGGTAAGACTGAGAGGGGAAGGTTAAAAGAGGGTCCTGAGCAGGGCGGAAGGTTCAGGGCACAGCCCCCCAGGGCAGTTGGCATGAGGTCATTGGCAGGGGAGACCCCCTTCCTGGAGGAAAGGTCCAACACACAGAGAGAAAGGAGGCAGCTGTATCACCCGGTTGCAGATTCATTTATTAATTGAATGGCATCCATCTTACTGATAAGGTGACCCTGGGAGGGTTCCCAGTGGTAGAAAGGCAAGTATGAAAAATTAAAATTACAAAGAGCTACATAAAACTTTAAGGACCAGGGGATGGATGCCATCTGGACGTTTTTACACCTAGGCACCCCAGCCCCTCCCCTTCAGAAGATCTGTGTTGCAAGACGAGCTGACCTCCAGACCAGCCAGCCGCATCTTTTCCAGGGCTTTGCGTTTAGCATCTCGTAAGAAACCCCCAAAATGGAGTTAATCAGGTGAATAAACATTTGGTCACAGGGCAAACGTGCCCAGCACTGGCACAGGCATCTCGGTCAATTGTTTAAAAGGAACCCACCAACAGATGAATCTCAGTCTGCTTTCACAAGACACATTAAACCTGTGACTGTCTCGGTTTGGCTTCTTGTGCACGCGTGAGAAACAATATAATAAGTTGTACATTTCCTTAATGTAGACTAGCACAGTTTATGAACGACGTATTATACAATTTATATAAGGTTTACTTATATAGGGAAGGAAGGAGAGAAGAAAGGTGGGAAGGAAGGAGGGAATGTAGGAGAGAAGGAAGGGGGGAAGGAAGGAGGAAAGGAAGGGGGGAAGGAAGGAGAGAAGGAGAGAAGAAAGGAGGGAGGGAAGGAAGGAGGGAATGAGAGAAGGAGGGAAGGGGGAAGGAGGGAAGGAGAGAAGGAGGGAGGGAAGGAAGGNGCCCCGGCCTGGATGCTGGGACGGAAGCCCCTTCGCTCCGCAGCTCCTCCGTTTTCCAAGCCAAGTTCCTCTGAATTCTTTCTTGCAACTGCTGGGGAGCAGCGAGAAAGAGGTTGCAAGCAATGGGGGCTGGGGGTGGGGGGGGGGAGTGCGCATGGGGCCACCTAGGTGGCGTGGAATCAATTACATAAGCTGGAATTTTGTAGCTGGATGTCAGCCGTTTAAAAAAAAAAAAAGAGGAAATCCAGCTTGTGTTTTTATTTATTCATCTTTACTAAAACCTATTAGCTTTCTTGCTTGGGAAAAACACCGAGAAGAACCCGTATTCTCCATTAAGGAAATCTGCAGTTTGAGCACGAGTCCAGCAATGTGCAGCCCAAGCCTGTTTCCAGAGCTGCCGGAGTCGGACTCCATGTGGGAGAACCTCCACCCTGAGCACTTAGCGCCATGAAACATTCATGGCTCCATCCTCGGCCCATCGTCTTCTCGCCCGAAGACCAAGTCCTGGCCAAGCAGGCCATGTGCGGAACATGCCGGCACTCTCAAGCACGGAGAAACCGCTCCGGGGGGAGAGGAGGGGGGCCTGCACAGTTGGAGGGGAGACTTGATTTTCAGCCCAGCCATTGAGGTGTCTCCTTATGAGATCCCAGACCATTGGTGATCTGTTTTGTAGCCCCCTCCTCTAACACTTAAACCCACCTTTCCTAATCTGCTCCTGGCAGAATTCTCCCCCAGGAGGTCTCTCAACCATGGGCTTCAACTCCCAGAATTCGCCAGCCAGCAAGGGAGGCGGGCCTTGGGTGCCTGAGTGGCCGTCTCTCCTCCGAGAATCCCCTCTGCATTCCTCTACTCTGCCTGACTCTGGGGAGGGGGCTAAGACCCATACGCCAGGGCTCCCGGTGGGCTGGGAAATCCCCAAGCGCTTGGGGGGCCCCAGCAGAAGGAGGGTTGCATGAGGGGCCCAGGAGGTAGCAAGGCAGGGGACCCCACAGTCTCTAGGAGACCCCTGCGTTGGCCTCCCTGTCCTACGAAGCCCCCAAACCGACTCTTGCCTGGGAGGGCCTGGGCAGCTTCCCCCAGAGTCATGGGGAGGTGGCCAAGCCAGCCGCAAGGCTTCGTTGACGTCCTGCACTCAATCCTAAACCACGGCTTGCCACGGGGCCTCAGTCCAAACGACGGACAAGATGCATGAAGGAGGCTGTCTGGATTCAGACAACCAGCAAGCCAGAAAGTGCAGCTGGGAAATGACAAGACTTCCCTGGCTACAACAGGCCAAGACGAAGGGCCACAAACCCCCATGGGTGGTCCCTCGGATGCAGAAACGGGCCACGGTTCCCCTGGTTTCCTCCAACGCAAGTCGGAGTCACTGTTGAGGGGGCAGTTCCCCCACGCGGGGCAGCAACCAATATTGGCCCTGGGTTCAAGCCGTAAGTGGTTTGCTGTACTGCAGCACGTGGGGCTTTGGGGATGAAGTCACAGAGGCTCCGAGCCACACTTCCTCCCTCAGCCAACCACAGCTTCTCCAAGGAGCCTTAAGTAAGCAAAGGCAACTGTGCGTGAGCCTTCAGCCTTCGACCCAAATGCTCCTCCGGGTACTTCAGCCGGGCACTTCCCATGCCAGTTGGCCCACCGACGTCTAAATACAGTCATGTGCCAATCTTTACCGCTATTTCCTCACCACCCACACAGATAGCGACGGTGCCCGGACATTCCCCGCTCGAGAGAACTGGCCGCAGAGTCGGGGGGCCCCCGAGAGACCCAGAATTGTCTGCCACAACTTAAAACAACAACAACTTTGAAGGCCTGGTGCGGGTCTGCAAGGCCTGGTCAAGTGTTCTGCTCTCCCCACTGCACCAAAACGAAAAAGGGAAAGAGGAAAACTATTAAACTGTCAGATCCAGTTAAAGGCAGCAGGTTCTCGGGCACCCTTAATAGATGACAAAGCGCAGAAAGAAAACATGTTTGACAGAACCAATATGGTCCGGTGGCGGCCAAGGAGCCAAGGCCACCACTTGGGCCTTTCCAGTGGGCTCCTCTCTCAAAGGAGGGGTTGGCTGCCCACCCTTGGCAGAGGACGTGGGACCAGGGGCAGGAAAGACCCCCCAAAGGCAGCTGNTAAGCCTCGTGGGCTTCAACCTCCATCGCAGCTGCTTGGGAAAATCCCTTCCCGCCAGGAACGGCAGCGCCGGGCCGGGGGCTCCGTGAGGGGCTCCTCTCCGGGACCCTCGCAGGACGCCCAGCGAGACACTCCCCCTCCCTCACCCACCCACGCTGCCTTTGCAACGGAAGCCTTTCCCTCGCGAACCGCCCGGGCTCGGGGGGGGGGGGCACGTACCGGGCACCGACCCGCATCCCCGGCTTCACACGTGCGTCTGAGGGAACCCTGGTTGAACAAACCACGGCTTGGCGCCCACGGCCAATCGGGACGAAGGTCCGGCCCCGACGCGCTGCCGATTGGGCGCAATGGGGAAGGTCCCGCCTCCTCTGCCTCCCGGTTGGCCGCAGGAGCCTCCTCGCCAGGCCCAAAACCGGGGAGTGACGGCGCGGCCCGCCCCCCTCTGGCGCCTCGCTCTGCGCGTGCGCAGTATCCCTTCCTCCGTCGGCGCTGCGAGCGTTCCGAGCGGTGAGCAGCGGGGGGGGCAGCCCCGGGAAGAGTGGCGGCGGCGGCGCGCGTGCGCAGGAGCGCCTGTAAGTTGGGGTGGCCGGCAGGAACGGCCGTGGCCCCCCAGGAGGGAGGAGCCGCCCGGGTCCCGCCGCCCTTCCGGGGTCTCCCTCCCTGGCCCCCGCCTGCCCGGAGCGATACCCCGGCCGACCAGGGGAGCCCCCGGGGCCGCCGGTGGTGCAAGGCAGGCGGGGAGGTCCGTGGGTCATCTAGTCCAGCCCCAGAGACCCTCCGCCCCTTGGAAGGGCGCTCCCTGGCGGGCGGAAGCGGCCTGGCGACCCCCGCCCTGCTCCAGGCCCAGCCCGCTGCCCGGTGGGTGGGAGGGAGGGTCGGGAAGGCCTGGGGAGTTCCTGGCAGTCAGGCCCAGGGATGGTCCTCCCCCCTCCTCCTCCTCGTGGGGAGGGGGAGGGCCCCAGCGAGGACCCCTGGCGACCCCCCTCCAGGCTTCGGCCGCTGGGCCTGAGCTGCCTGCAGCTGGGAGCCTGGGCAGGCCGGCCGGACACCCCCGAGGCACAAGGGCTGCCGATGGGACCCCCAGGATGCCCCTCTGATGGCCGAGGCCTTGGGGGGGGGGATCCTGATGGGGCCATGCTGTCTTTCAGCCGGGAGGATGAATCCGGGCACGGAGATCCAGAAGCCGCTGCGGGCCAGGAAGACGATGCCTCAGAGCAGCCGGAAGCAGATGGGGCACCTGAGCAGGAGGAAGGCTGGGGAAGGAGCTGTGGGCCCAGCGGGGCCGGTTGAAGCCAGCGGGGCCCAGGAAGAGGCTGGAGCCAGGCTGAAGCCACTGCCGGCCAAGGAGCCCCTGGCCGGCTTGCTGGTGAATTCCGAAATCAGCATCTATAAGGACCCCCAGGAGATGCTCCAGGACCTCCCCAACCCGGGGGTCCGGCGGTTCCTCAGTGCCAGCACGTTACAGGATATCCTTTCTTACTATTACGAAAAGGACTCTGGCTGCCCCTTGTCGAAGCCGGTCGAAGCGTCCCTGGAATCAGCACCGGCTGCCCAACTCCCAGATCGGCTTCCAGTGGCCTCTTCCACGCACAAAAAGGCAGATGTAGCAGCCGAAACGCCCGGCTGCCAAACTCTTCCGGCGTTGCAAGAGGAAGAAAGACGCTTTGGGGTGCCCGAAACAGACGGGGTGATGCCCGCAGGGCCCCTGGGTAAGATTGGGATCTCTTTAAAGACCCATAAAAAGATGGCGAGCTCCCTCTTTCCTCTGGCAGCCGGTCCCGAACCTCCCGGTGACCCACCTTTCGGTAGAGGGCAAAACTCGCTTAACAAATGTCTCATTCAGCAGCAGACACTTTGGCCTCAGTTGTGGTCATAAGCCGAGGACCACCTGTGAAGTGCGTGATTTGGATAGTACAGCTCCGTCCTAGCTTGCCTTTGCTTTGGGGTGTTGGCCAGTGGGGGCCTTTGCTTAACAATTGCCTTTCCCCTTTTGGCCAAGAGGGCCGGGGGCTTCTTCCCTAGATGGAGGCCCTGGGCTTAGTCCTAGCAGGGCTCGGATTTGCCTCCCCGGTCCCTCCGTGAAGCTCTCCCGTCTTTCCTGGCAGGAGACGGCCAGAGGAAGAGGACGGCGTCCAGCAGCGGCGAGGAAGGCAGCGTCCTTTCCAAGCGCAGCAAAGCCTCCGGGGACCCCGCACAGCGGACCACCCCAGCCGTGGAGAAAGCGGAGTCCGGCCTGGAAAAGGTAAACGGCTGCGGCCGGCAGGGACGCTGCCCCCTCTGGCACAGGGGGGGGTCCCTTGCGAGGGCCGCTTCCCACGGGGGCCACGCCGAAGCCCTCCCGCACGGGGCCCGATGGTGGCAGCGCTGCAGCTGGTGAATTTGTTGGCCGCCGCTCTGTGTGGTTGGAGCTCTTCCGCTGTCAGCCGCTCGTAACCGCTGTTTTTGTCTCGATAGCTTGCTCCAGGCCCTTCTCGGGCTGGAAAAGTCCCCAGGTAATGCTGCATGGGCCAGTCGCATCAGGGGTGGAGGGAGTGGGGGTCTCACTCCAGCTGCATCCCGGGGATGCCTGCTCGTCCGGGCATCTCTGCCTTCGTCCATGCACGCAATTCTGCCACAGGGAAGCAACGGTTTCCTCACAAGATGTGGAGGGGGGGGGGCTTTAGAAATATCTAGGGGGGGGTTCTTCTGCCTCCAAACTAAATCAATTGATTTCCCTCCTCTTTGTTCCTTTGGCCTTCTGGAAACCCACCGAGAGGCGCCTTTAAAAGCAAGCACGGGAGGCGAGGCCAGAGTGGTGGCCGGGGGGGGGGGGGGGGTGGAGGAGGGGGGCAGCCAGCATTCCCTCTGCCCTTCAGGTCCTCCGTGGCCTTTGGGCCGAGCAGAAGGGGATGCTGAGCCTGGGGAGGGGGGCTCGCTAGAACAATGGAAGCGGCTAGAAGTGCAGCAATTAGGAATATTTCACAATAAATGCATGTATCAAAGGGATGGGAAAGTTAAGAAATTCACCAGGGGAAAAAGGGGGGAGGTTGAGGACTCTGCTTTGGCTGCTGTTGAAAAGCATTTCCCATTTCTGATCGCTTGTGTTGGGAGGGGTGGGGGGGGCTGTGAATGTTTAGTTGAAAATGTCTGTGTATTTTTCTTGCTGTAGGCCAGGGGGTGGATTCGAAGTCAGCTGAAGGCCTCAATGAGGGAATTTGACCAGGGTCTCCGACACTTGAGTGAAAGAATTGATCGCACTCAGTGCCTGCGGAAACACGAAGGCATCGCTATTAAGATTGTAGTAAGAGGGTGCTTCTTTCAAAGCTCTGTGTGTGTGTGTGAGAGAGAGAGAGAACAGGGCACAAGCTTGTGC